GAGTGATTTTTTGAGACAATTTGCGTCATTTCTTTTAAAGTATAATAATTTTGTTAAAACATTTTGAGCAATATTTTTGCTCTTTAATATGACCTCAAGAAAAAAGTGCTGACTCATTAGATTAGGGGGCGAGAGGGGCCAAAAGTCTTTATTCGATAACTCTTTAACGGTCAATATTTTGTATACATTACTGAAGCAAAAAATTTATCTCAACAATCTACAACTACATATTATAATTTTTATGTCGTATGGTACATAATTAGGGATCACAAGGGGCCAGAATACTAAATCTTTGACGCTTTATATCTCGAAAGTGAGAAAAATTTTCATAAGTAATATTGAACAAAAGATGTTCAAAATCATGTTCTGAACAACATGCAACCTTTTGTTTTTCGCTAAACGCCCCCATTAGGGAGTTGAAGGGTTGGCCCCTAAATATTTCTTTTGCAAATAACTCGAAAACGAAGAAGAATCTCTGAATAGTTGTTGAACAAAAAGTGTTCAAAATCCTAAGAGCTTGCAGGTAAACTAAAGAAAAAGGGTTTAGACACTCAAATCAGGGGCCGAAAGGGGCCAAAAGTCTACAATCGATAACTCTTTTTCAGTTAATATTTTGTAATACATTACTGAAGCAAAGATGTTTATCTCAACCATTTACAACTATATATTATGATTCTTATGTCGTATGGTACATAATTAGGGGCCATAAGGGGCAAGAATGCTCAATCTTTGACGCTTTATATCTTGAAAGTGAGAAATATTTTGATAAGTAACATTGAATAAAAGATGTTCAAAATAATGTTCTGAACAATACACAACCTTTCATTTTTCGCTAAACGTTCCCATTAACGAGTTGAAGGGCTGGCCCCTAAATATTTCTTTGCAAATAACTCGAAAACAAAAAAAAATCTCTGAACACTTGTCAGACAAAAAGTGTTTAAAAGCATGAGATCAATAAGATGATCTGATAAAAAAAGTTCTGGGCCTTCATATCAAGGGCCGAGAGGGGCTAGAATTCGAATTTATGACTATTTAACGTTCAATATATTTTTTAAACATAACGGCAGCAAAATTGCTTTTCTTAACACTATTATCATTGTAAAAAAGATCTCAATCAAAATCTCATCTCATCTCATCAAGAATCGGACGAATGACCTACTTGTTGCTCGCAATGAGATCTCATCTAGTTCTTTTTTTTTTCTTACCGATTTTGTGCATGCGATTTCTCGAAAACGGCTCGGTAAATTTTTATGAAACTTGTCTGATAAAAATCTTGATACTTTTTTTTTTATTTTGATGACCTCACATCCGGTTCGAAGATTTAGTGATTTTATAGGGTCAGTTTGTCCGTCACTATTCTTTAAAACGACTCATTACAGGAAGATGGAACTTCTAGGGAAGATAGAACAACATATAAAGATTTGCATTGTGTTGTTAACTTTTACCGAAAGTACTGCACGTCAACGCTCGGTATGGTCTGAAAAAAGTCATACTGAGATTTTCAAAATTTCTAACACTTTCTCTTTTATATCTTTTTACTTGTAAATATTTTGTTTAAATATATTGAACAAAACTTGTGCAGAATTAAGGGATCTTGCAAATGATATGTCGAAAAAAGGGCTGGCCCCTAATCTTAAGGGTCTAGAAGGGCCAAAACAATTTCCCCGATATCTCAAAAAGGTATTGAAAATTTGTGATATAGCAAAAAAGCAAAATTGTTCAAAATTTCAGGTAGAATCTACTGACATCATCAAAATACGTCCGGTACCGTCACTTCTGGTCAAAGAGGAAGTAGTCAGAAAATGCATATTTCTGTCCATATTGACATGTTTTAGGGAAATATTTGTCAATGGGAGCATAAAACTTAATTTTCCGTCCGTCGAGATCACTTCTGGTGGGAACCGGAAGTAGCAAGAAATGGCTTAATTTTGCAATAATCAACATAGATTCTGAAGATGTAAATCATTGGAAAGGTCATTTCACTTTATTTTTCAAATTAAAGTTACTTCCGGTCAAACAGGACAGAAACCTACTCGTTGCTTTGCAACGAGCTTTGCTCTTGTTATTAAGGTCTTTCGTCTTCATTGGAAGACCTTGCTGTTATTCTTAGGTTTCTTTTCCACTATTTTTACTAAGGTCTTCCGTTTCCATTGGAGCATGAAAAAAACTAGATATATATTTTTTTGCTTTGATGACATCACTTCCGGTTTCGAGATTTCCGTGTGTAGGTTAGGGCGTTCATATTATACATGCATATATTATTACCTGTGATAAGATCTTTTCAAATAATCATGACTTTTAACTCAGTGACCTTGAAGCTTAACCTACTTTTCAAAAATCTTTCATTTGCTTATAACTTTTGACTGAGAGAGATACCCGGTATGACTTTCACATTTGACATGTACATTATTCTTAAGAATTAAAGATGTTTCCAAGCATGCTATGATTTTTACCCCTTGATGTTGATGTTTTATCTAATTTATTTTAAAAAAAAATTAACTCTCCCAAAAGATGATTAGGCTACTGTGTAAAATGTACACTATAGGAGGGGTTCAGGGAAGACGAAGATTTTGCATTAAAAACGTCATTTTTCGAGCCTCATTTGACCCCCGGGGCAAAATCAAAATTCCAATACCTTAAGGTAGGATTCTTCTCTGGTTTCTGACTAGATGAAACATTCAGAGTATATTTGCTTATATGTTTTATATATTGAAGTGTAAGGAATTTAAAAGACCATATTTTTCTTTCCTCATCACAATTGTACAACTTTAAATAGAAATGGTAAACTGCGTTTGAAAACTACCAGGGACTATATTTTTGGCGGAATGGTGGCGTATGAAAATATCTTCTTTTCTGCATCTCAAAATTATAATAGAACAATGAATTAAGTTATAATTTTTACACAATCGAAGACTTGGAGAAATTTTCAAATGTAAGTTAGATTAATAATGAGGGACTAAACTTTCAAAATATATGAAATAAATATGATTTTTCAAACAAACTAAAACTTTATTAGCTTTTAAACGCTTCCTATCACAGTGCAGATCTGAGCCAAAAAACCATAAAAAGTATTTTTTCCTCTCTTAGTAAACGATCAAAACTTTTTGTTTTTGTATCATTTTGTACATTTATAAGCCTATTTTATTATATGTGAAAATAAGAAAAAGTTAAATATAGGAAGCATATGAAAATAACTAATATATCCTAAAAAATTAAGAAAAACGGAGAAAATTCGGATTAGCCAATATCCAGTTAAGTTAAATCATTTATGTAAATTTGATGATATCATGCTATAGACCCGATATAGTAATATGTTTTTATGCAAAAGAAAAATCATTAAACGTTTGAAATAGAAGTACGTATCACATGATTGGCAACAGTTATTTTTTATTCTTATGTCAAGGAAAAAAGATAATGACCTTGACCTGACCTTTCCTCTAATATAAAACGGACAAATTTAATTTCACTGATACTATCACTTACTGATATTGTCTTCTTGATTCTGTGAAAATTTCATCAATTTTTAAATATTAGAAATATGAGAAGAATCCTACCTTAATGCACATCTACATGACACCACCAACCATCTCCCAAAAGATGATTAGGCTACTGTGTAAAATGTAGGAGGGGTTCAGGGTAGACGAGGTTTTTGCACGTAAAACGTCATTTTTCGAGCCCCATTTGATCCCCTGGGGCAAAATCAAAATTCCGAAACCTTACTGTACATCTACATGACACCACCAACCATCTGGGTACAGTCCACTAATTGTTTTCCCATTTGCGACAATTTTAACGTTTCTTCTCACAGCGATGTCCCCAATTTTCGTTCAGCAGTGAGTGACCCCTCAAATCAAAGCACATCAAGTTGTCTTTCCTTGGTTAAAATCTCGAGGTGGCATGTCAGATTTGTTTTCCGGCAAAATGCCTCTGTCTGCGGGAATCTCTAAAACTGAAAGTGAAAGTAAGAGAATTTCAGAGTTCTCACTGGAGTTATAATACAAAAAATAATTCGGCTGATCTTCTTGATAAATTACATTTGCTAAACTTTTTTGGTAGGAAAGATCCTCGTTATCAACAAGTGTGAGGCTCAGTTTAGTACATCTGCACAATTTTTTTTATGCAAGGTTGCACTACATTCTTCTCCTGCTAATTCTAAAAATAATTAGTGGGATGTACCCATCTCCTAGAAGATGATTGGGTTACTGTGTAAAATGTAGGAGGAGTTCAGGGAAGACGGAGCTTTTTACATAAATTTTTTTCATTTTTCGACCCCCATTTTACCCCCAGGGGCAAAAGCAAAATTCCAAAACCTTAGTGCACATGTAAATGACATCACCAACCAACTCACAAATAATGATTAGGTTATTGTGTAAAATGTAGGAGTTCGAGAAAGAAAAGTGTGACAGACGGACGGGCGGACATAAGTAACAATATACCCGAACTTTCTTTAGAAAGTACGGATATAATCAGTGTGAGAATACCTTTCATTGGATTCCAACAACACCTTTTAACGGTAAGGTCAAGGGCTTTCATACTTTACATATGCAATCCTTGTGACAACTTGAAAGATACCGCCAACTTTGACCCCTTGACTTTGACTTAGGAGTTTCACCTACTTTTTAAAAACTTTAACCTTGGTCATAATTTTTGAACAGGTTGTAAAAGGGCTTTCATGTTTTAAAATTCATATTTACAATTGTATTTCTTGTGGGAAGGCCTTACTTTGGGAAGCAACATATTTGAGTTACAAACTCTACAAAAACATTTGGTTGAAATAAACGACAGCCTCTCTGAAATCAAGGATGTAATCAATTCAGTTGAAATGGCTTTAGACACAAATGACATGTCAAAACTGTTCGCTGTTAAATCCAATTTAGACAGATATAGAAAGCTTCCACAAAAGATTGTGCCTTCAAATCTTCAATTCTTGCCTGGTAAAATTCAATGAAAAGAACTCAGTAATCTGTTTGAAACTTTATTATCAAGTTCTTTAACTTCAGTTAAACATGGCTACAGCATGAAGACAACACAGAAATCATCAAAAGCTGGACCCTCTCCTCCAGTCAGACAGCTGCTTGATGAACCAGAGACTGTCACTACCATAGACACTGGGTATAAATACCTTTGCAATGTGGTCTGTCTGAGTGATAAAGAAATCTGGACAAGAGGAAATGACTACACCATGAAACTCTACAGCATCAATCAGGGATTACTACTCAAGTCAATCATAACCAAGTCAGGGAACATTCCATGGGACATAGCAGTGACAAGAAGTGGAGATCTAGTTTATACCGATACCAGTGATAGAACTTTGAACATTGTGAAGAATGAGAGGATGGAGGTGATCAGACTGCAGAACTGGTGCCCTTACAATGTCTGTAGTACCTCCTCTGGTGACCTCCTGGTTATCATGAAAAGGGATGATAAACTAACAAAAGTTGTCCGTTACTCTGGCTCCAAAGAGAAACAATCCATTCAGTTTGATGATAAAGGCAAACCTCTCTATTCACCTGGTGATTATTCTAGATACATAACTGAAAACAGGAACCTGGACATCTGTGTGTCTGACTGTAGAGCTAATGCAGTAGTGGTGGTCAATCAGGCTGGGGAACTGAGATTCAGGTACAATGGATATACTCCTCCTCGAAAGAACAGACCATTCTATGCGCGAGGAATCACCACAGACAGTCAGAGTCACATCCTTACAGCGGATAATAACAATGACTGTGTTCACATCATAGACCAGGATGGACAGTTCCTCTGTTACATAGACGGTGGACTGAGTCAACCTTGGGGACTGTGTACAGATACAAATGACAATCTGTTTGTTGCTCAATTTGGAAACAATCAAGTGAAGAAAATCAAATATCTGAAGTGAATTTTGCTGCTGTACTGTAGTTTAGCAATTTTAAATGGTAATTTATGGTTGAATTCAATCATTATTGATGTTTATATAATAATATCTTGCCCGAGCTGAATTAAATGATGAATGTGAAATATAAAGTTAATGATCCATAGACTGGAAAAGTATATTCTAATAGTAATCTTATGTACAGCAAATCAGTGAAGATTTTTAACTTATAAATATATCAATGAGGGTTTTTAGTAATATATAACTTTACTTTTCTTTTAACCATACAAGTATATTGCTTTATTCACCAAAATACATATACCCACAAAAAGAAAAGAAAACATAATGTACTAACATAATAATCTTCAATAAACATAATTTCAAAATTTGTCATGTATTATCTATGCAATGTACATCATGCCAAGCATCCTTAGGTGTAAAAAACTATGTCAAATGTTTTGAAAGATGAATGAAAACTAAAGATATATTAGATAAGAGTTATCTCCCAGGTACACACATTCAAGCAAAAGAATTGTCTATGTAGGGGATTCCTACATGTATCTCGCTGGATGATTTAAAAAAAAAGTAAAAGTCTGTTGTGATTACATTATCTGATCAAAACTTATCCAAGCTCCAATTATACTTTGTATTTCAACGTACAAAGAAAATCTTACAAATACAAAGCTCAGGATTATATAAAGGCCTCCAAACAGTTAAATAACTTTTAATCAGTTTTTGTTGTTTTCTTTTTATTGAACATGTAACGTAGCACACAAGAAGGAGTTTTTTTGTATAGGAAAGTCATAAGCCTCAGAAAATTAATATGAATTTTGGGAAGCGCAATTTTACTACAGTAACTTCTCTGTCTATCACATGTACTTAAATCTTATTATATACCAATTACATGTAACAGTAAATCAATTCATTAATCACCTCTTTTCTTACAAAAAATGATTTTCTTTTCTATCGGCGTAAGCATTATTTCAAAACATTATATATATTAGAACTATCAAAAGAAAATAACACATTTTATATTTAAATGAAACAACCATTTAAATGTTTTCAAATCAGAAGTTAAATACACATATAATTAGTTTTGAAAATCACATGGTAAATGTACATAAAATGAAATGTTCTGCAGTGTGACATAAAAAAAACTAGATGCTGTCATGAGACAGTAATACCCGCACTAATGTGTTTGCCTCTAAATACACACTCCTTCATATTGGGCTTTCCAAGGAAAAGTCAAAAAACTCTATAATTATCACCGTACATGTATTCGTCAAATTAAGCATAAAATTTTCAGGTGACCATGTGATATATGAGGCTCATATATACTTGTCAAAATTTCTAAGTCCCCACTTTTATTTTTTCAAAAAGTTCAAAACCCTGACATCAATGTACTAGTTGCTTACAATTTTTCCTTTAATTTTCAATACTTACCTTTCAAGGCCAAAGAAAATGTAATCGAATGTGAAATTACTCGACCTTTGACCGTTTTTGTTAAAAAGCATGAAGTTCTAGTTCCATATGTGTTTCGAATGTATTCTTCATATTTTTTACTTTCATGTGTTCTCCATCTTTAATTGATAACGAAAAACAGAAAAAAAGTTTGATTAAAATGCGGTGTATGTCCACACAACAATGTGAAAGTGAAGTTAAAATGGCCCAAACTGGTCGTACTTACTAGAATTCTGTTTCCTTTCACTATGTGACTTTATTTTACTTCAAATCTTTATAATTACCGCTAGAAAAACATACTAAGCATACCTAAATTCCTTTTAATCATTAGAAATCGCTAGATTTTCAATAAACACAACAAAATCTTCGTAGAGTTTATCCGGAAAAATCAATGGAACCGGAACCGGAAGTGCCCTCCCCCAATGTCAATCTGGAGGAGTGGGTAATACATGCAATGAGACATTATGTAACTATTGTCTGCAAGGCACAGGCACTTTTGGTAAGCCTACTTGTCATCCTTATCTCAACCCTAACTTACATGTATAGAAGAAGATAGACTGGAGTGTGAGACCGCTTTTCCAGCAGCAGAATCAAGCGGAACAAGAGGACGACCTAGTCTCCAAATGGAAAAACATTGAATAAAAGATTTTTTCTTAAATTGTGTGAACTCTTTGAGAAACGGTTGTCTTGCTGTGAATTCGTTTGAATGGAGGATAATGCAGTATATAATAGGGATATCAATTTTACTTGGACAGCTTAGTCAAATAGTCGGATGCTTTAGTCGAAGGATAGTCGAATATTCGTTTAATTTTAATTATTTTTTTGTACCAGTTTCACTGATTGTTTTTACGGACTGGTTTACAATATTGAACCTACGCTATCACCATTATATAACGAATTTCTGAATTGTAAACATGTACGTAGTGCAATTAAAATTGTACATCAATATTGTATCCGATGTATTTCATTTCAAAATTAAAATCTTAGGTGCACGTTTTATCTAAATGCAGGGTATCAAACGCCCGTATTTGTTCTGGCTTTCTTTACATAACGGTATTACATGTACCCCATAATTGAAGCCAATTATTACGTGTCCATCAAAGATCTTTCACAGGAAAAAAATTAAAGCGTGTTTCTTATAAAAACAAAGAGAAAGCGAGAGCTTGGGATAAATTTAAATTATGAAATTTTGTGCAAACAATCAATGATTAATATCAGAAAAAGAAAACAGGGTTTAATTACTCTCATATTAATTGACTCCGATTTGCATGCATTTACAATTTTGTAATATTATGGCTGTTTACTAGTAATTAATAGTCTTTCTTAATAGTTGTATCACGTCAGATCTTAGTTGAATCTTCAAAAACGAAACAATTGCCCTCTCCATTTAAAACAGTCAGAGATAGACAATTATGAATAAACATGTTTGTTTTTCTTTCCCATTCTGCTTTTTTGTCATTTATGCGGATAACTTACTATAGGAAAGTTTCACTTGAAGACTGTGTATTTGTTTGACTGATCGGCATATGATACATCATGTTTGATGTTACACTGCAGAATACAGTTCAATTTCACATATGTGTGATAACACTGTTTACCATTTCTAAGCTATACAAAAACTGTAGATTTTGAAGATATGTTTGCCGAACATACATCGACGTACAAATAATTTCCGTTGAACAATTATACCATACCCTTAATTTTACATATGAAAATATTGATCTGTAAATAAATGAAATGAGCAAATATAAGTTTATTGCCTTGAATTCAAAATTACCTTGATGAAACACATTTTTTACGAATAATCTACTAAAGAAATTTTAGTCGATAATCGGTATGATCGAACGATAGTCGAGTACTCGAATATTTGTTGACATCCCTAGTATTTAACGTTGTGAATTTTTAATTCAAGGGTTCCTTAACGTTTCTGCATATTGTGTTAAAGTGCTTCAATAAAATAAATTCAGTGAGAAAAATTATTTTGCTACTTTTTTCTATTAAATTATATTGTTAAAATAATTCAGTATAAGAGCGTAGTAAAGCAAAAACTTGCATGGGGACTAAGAAATTTTGACTAGTATATAAGACCCATGGGATTATTGTTTCTGTTATGCTGTATCTGTCAACTAGATTGATATGTCAAACCAATTATCTCTTAATTGTTCAACAAATAACTTCATAATTGGTCATGATTTGTAATGAAGTTTGAAACATGTAGTAAGAGAATACTTGAAAATATTCGTGAAAGAATGGAAGCATGAAAATCTCTACACTAGTTTTGTTTTAACTTTTATATTTTCTTACATTTTTTTGTCTTTTCAACATATTAAGTCTTATAACTCTTTATTTATATACATATTTTGAATTGTATTAAAAAGTTTTAACATTATGTTATGTAGCTTATTTTCTTAAATTGTTTTTATTGCTATAAGTATTATAAACCTTAAAACATCTATTCTAAACTATTGATCAAAGTAAGATATTGAATCATATCAAAAAAGTAATGGCGATAGGAAAAAATAGATAATTATTTAGTCATATTAATATGATCATATGAAAATTTCCGAGAAAGAAGTATAAAGTTCCCGAGAATTAATATAAATGTTTTAAATGCTTCTTTTAAATGCCCTCTCAGTTATACGCACGGTCACGTGTCAGTATATGTGCATGTTAATCTTCCCATCTTTTCATGAATATCAATACATAAAAAACGAAAATGTAAAAGATACGCTAAGTGTATTTCTTTATTTAGTCATCTCGCGCACACGCAACTGCATGCATGCCTGTGCGTAAAAAAAATGTATTTTTCCGTAAAACAGCAGGCATATCCTAACAACTCCTGAAAGGTTTCACTTCAATCGAAAGAGTAGTTTACAGGATCCCACACGGACAAGAAAGTATCAGAAAGAAATAGTACCATGGCAAACACAACAGATTTCGTTTTGTTAACGTAAAAACATAATGAGGATATCTTTCTGTCCACTAAAATTTCGTATTGTATCATGAATAGATTAAGCATGTACAGGTACTACGTACTTGGCAATGTGTTTAAAACTATATCATCGTAAAATTAAGTGTCTGAATTTGTCTGTTTTAACGCTTTTTGTACACATTTGAAATTAAAAAGTAACGTAATATCCACTGAAAAGACATGCTTAAATTAATTCACATGGATTTGAAACAGATAAAATGTTCCCAATATAGCCGTTGATTTTATTATCTTAATCAATTGCTTACGCATAAATATGCTGTAAGGAAGGAAAGGAAAAGTCTTTTTAGTTTTAACATTGACACACCATGACATTCTGTGATAGAAGACAGTCATGGATAATTAACCTATGTTTCGTTTGAAAAGTTTGACATGTGTATGTAAGCAGATGATCTTACTGACCTTTCGTCCCATTTTTTAAACATTCTTTTGTTCTTGGAATACTTACTAGATGAACTTATTATTGCCATATAAAAGAGGAAGTAACATATTTAGAGAACACCAGCCTTTCCTTAGTTTTTATTTTGTAAACAATAAAGTATATGCAATCCAAACTGACATTTCTTAAATGTACCAT